CCTTATCAGGATAGGTCTCCCCAGACCAACCCACTGGCTGTGAACATTCTAAACTAACACGAGTCTCATTAAGTGTCCAGTTTAAGGGTATTACACAAAAACATACCAAAGGAACATGAATCAAATATGTACTTTATTCATTTACAATAAACTCATAGTGTACATCATTCTGATTGAAGATAAGGGCATACAAAAACTGTCTAACAAGAAGAAATAGTGGTTGAATTTAAATGGATTAGAAGGAGTGCAAATGGCTTAGCTAACACATTAGCTAAGCAAGGGCCTATGAGGCAAGGACTGTTTTGGGCATCCTTGTAATTTGGAATAGCAAAGTGGGCTAAAAAGTTGTACTTATCTTTTCTTCTTCCCAAACTTTTAATAAAATTTTTTTTTTATTGATCAAAAAAATATATACATCACTTGTAAAAAGCCAAAATAGTGATTCCTAGATGGAATCATGGATGAATAAAAAGAAAACTAACCACTTGAAAAGAAAATGCTGCAACAGAAATACAAGCATTGTTAAAAAAAAAAAAACATAATCCATGGGAAAATACTTACCGGTTATCCATTTATTTTCCTTCCCCTTTTTTGAATGAAAAGTTGCATTTCTTCAAAGAAATATCTGGTTTAAGATCACCGACCAACACCAACACTGCCAGCACTGGAATTGCCAAAAGCAAAAAAGAAATATTGCTTCAGTTGCCTCCTCCACCACCATGGTTCAAGCTAATAATTGTATGAGAAGGTGAAGCATAAGAGGCTGCAGTTGCAAAATGGAAAATTTTTTCAAGGACAAGCAGTATTTTGAAGAGATAAGTTATTGCATTTCAAAAAGGAGAAGATGAAGATGACGAAAAGTCTACATGTGATACCTAAACCAGTATAAGGGTATTTCAGTAAAAAGCAAAAGGCATGGTTCATGGGTAATTTGGGTATTTAAAAAATAGAGCAATAGATTTATTTTTCTGTTAAGTTTCTAACGTGCAATTAATGGAAGGGGTCAGTGAGCATATTTTATACCAAAGGTCAGGGGAGGTTTAAGTATTTATCAAAAACATTAGAGGAATAAGTATTTTACCCAGAAAAGTAATAGAAAAGGTCTAAGTTTAAAAAAAAAAGGATGTAAGTTTCATATACTAAAACTAAAATTTGTGCGCAATAGCAAAAGTAAAATATTATTTAAATTATATTCTTACAATTTTGATTATTAATATGATGACTAGAAATTGAAGAGGGTCTATGTCCATGTGGGTATTGACTTGTGGCACTGCCAACATCAAGAACCTATCAAAAAATATACAAACTTAAGTGTACAATCTCAAACCACAACATATCTAAACAAACTTGAATATTTATGAGTATTATTACCAATATTTGTCAAGAAAAAAAAATGTTATAAAATAATAGAGCCAAAAATAGATTAAAAAAACATATAGTTTCGAAAGCTAACTTACATTAGCAACTTGTATTTAGTCAGCTAACCTCAAGATTGATGAAGCAGTTAACTGCCCCTAATATGTTCACAACTTGCTTACAGGCACTTCCTTTCAATTACTGACACAAGGCTTACAACCATTCCCTGTAGCCCGTTAACTTCATCTATTAGCCCTGCAACATGTAGCTTTACTTGTTGAACTTCTTCATCATGATCCATTGACTAAGAAGATGGAGAATCAAATGTTTTGGAAGAAGTTGGATATTTTCCCATACAACAGAGTCTTCCCTTCTTTTCTGGTCCTTTCACTTGGGAGAAGACATCATTTTTCCAAGAACTTCATTGTGTACTCTGTGAAGTCTTAACCTCACCCACAAATTGTTTCATGTGTTCCTAAAAGTTATAATATATTTTATCATTTAACTGAAAGCAAAAAATAGCAAAAGGGAGCACCAATACTCACAAGTTTAAATACCAAGCATATGGAATAAATAATATATGGGTTTGCTTTAGAATGCTTATTATCAACTTGAAATGAAACCATGGTTGAAAGAAGTTTCTAAGGAAAACAAAACACATTTGGGGTTGGTTTCAAAGCAAGCTTCTGTTGCAAATTGTAGCAGTAAAAGGAATAGACGAACAAGATTCATGTAGCTGATCACTATAGTTGGTATAAGCTTAAATATCAAATGAAAAAAAAAAAACTCAAGGAACACGTTTGAAGAATATATGAGAACAAATAGGTAGATGGTTTTATGATTATGCCTTTGTTTTTCCAAAAAAAAAAAAAGTAATACACCAAGTTGTACAATCAATTGAACTGCTTTATAATTTTATATCTGGACAAAGAAAAAGGAAGTTGATTCTTTCAACCAATATGAAAAACCAGAAACTATATTGTGTTATCTAGCATGACTAAGCGGGAGTTGCCAATCCTTATCTTGTCAATTGGCCTCTTGCAAGTTCCTTGGTTTGGACCAGCATGCTTAGCTGATTGAAGTTACCAATCAGGTGATTCCAATGCTTGAAACATGGGACAGGTGGTATTCTTATAAATCCTACATGCCTGTACCTAAAGTTACTGATTTTCTCCTTTGCCATATGATATGGGCCCTGGGTAGTTGGGTGTTGTTGGCAGATGTTGTTGTACACAAGTTTAGTACCGCAGGGGTACTTTTGTAATTTCTTCATACTTTATGTTGTACGACCAGACTAGTATAAATAATAACTACTGCACACGCCTTCAGTATTCTTTTGGGGCTTTCAGTCCTCTCGCCTCTCCTCTCTTCTCTTCCTCTCTTCTCTTGCTCAACATGGTATCAGTGCAAGTCGTCCAGGCCTGAAGGGTGGTGTCAAGCAAATCTGTTGTGTTCATCCTCCAATGTCGAGCAGTTAGTCTCTTCATCTTCCAGAAGCTGTATCCATCTGCTGTTCGACCTTAAGCAAGAAGATGTCTGCCTGACTTTTCATCTTCCAGCGCAGAAAAAAGTTCCAGTTATAGAGACTTTTCATCTTCCAGCCCAGAAGCTGTTGAAAGCTAAATTACTGTAGCCGAAGTAACAGAAAAGAGAAGAAGAAGAAGAAGA